CAGATATTTGTGTAAAAATGTAAGGAGTAGAAGTAAAAAGTCGCCATAAAAATAAGTAGTAAAGTAAAAATATCAGAAAAATCTACTTGAAGACAGTAATGAAGTATTTGTACTTCGTTACTTCCCATCTCTGACTAATCAGGTAAGTTTAATCTTTTTTTACAGACTACTTTGTCACAGTCCTAAATAATGCAACGAAGATTAAAACCTTAATTTAAAAAATATATTAATATAATTTCCTGTCAGACTGGGGTTAAAATCTGAATCTGAAAAAAGCTGATTTGAAAGTGTAAAAATAAAATCTAAAACTGCAAATAAGGACAGAAATAAAAAAAGGAAAAAGTGTAATTAAAATACTAATCTGAGCTTAGATTCAATTCTTATTATTCTATGTTTGCTTTTTTTAATAAGTCATATTTTAAGGTAAAAACAATATAATGTAGATATAGAAGTTTCCAAATATTTTGAACCCTTTCTGACTCCATAGATACCACACACACACACACAAGCAAAAAAGATACACTGATCTCATGTAACAGGCAACAAAAATACCTAAAATTAATTTTTCAGGATGCTGAAAATGACTAAAGGACACTGGGGTTATATTGACTTCTAGTGCTATTATACGTAAAGACCTAACCAATGACACTCATTCTCTTGCGCACGTTGTTGAAGTCCAGTATGGCCAGCAGCTCATAGGTGGCGGCTCTTCCCATCTCACATAGTGTGATGGTTTCTGGCGTTCGAGCCCGGAAGACAAACCCAAAGTTTCGTGCTGCTGTTACCAACGCTCCCTCATCAGGTGACTGGGCCTGGTACACCAGATTCCCTTCGTTCAAACAGACATATTGATCAGAGAAAAAACGTAAAATAAATCCTCATGGACGGTAAGATCAGGGTGCAGCTTTACCTTCACTCTTCTCCTCGGACATGACGGTGTGGCACAGAGCCAGCAGCCTGAAGAACTCCTGCACTGAAGATTCCTCCCGTTTAACAGCTTCAACCAGGCTGCTGTCGTAAAACTTAAAGCCTCTGTCCAAGAGGGGGTTGAAGGAGAAATCCACGCACGCTGTTTTCTGAGGAAAACGCATTAATTCAATTTATTTCTATAGCGCCAATTCACAACACATTTCATCTCAAGACACTTTCCAGTTCACCAGATCATCCAGTCAGATTGATTCAAAGTTTTCTATCTAAGGAAAACCAGCTGATTGAATCGACTCATTGACTCTTCAGCAATCCCTCACACTAAGCATGCTTGTGTTGTAAATTGGCGCTTCTGTCTCCTTGAACCCCAGTGGGCCTCAGCAGATGGCCGCTCACACTGGGCCTGGTTGTCCTCCATTTTTATGATGACTGAAGGCAGGAATAAGCCTCCCAGTGCTCCTAATGGATTTGAG